CTGATTTCGTAAAGCAACTTAGGAAGCGGAATGACAGCTCCAAATGCGGTCCAACATTTCATGACATATTTATGCTCTCAACACTAAACATAGCACATTCGTAAACTTAGGTTCAGGACACGAATTAAAAATCATAGACATCCTCACACTTAAAAACATCTAAAAACCCCGCAAAATAGCCCATTACATTCAGTGAAGATGAAAGAGTCATCAAACCTTACAGTGGCCGAACTCTCAGATCCTGACGAGCACTGGTAAAGTGACTTAAAATTCATTACAATGGTGGGGTTAGGATGTGTGACGATCTGCAGTCCGTCTTGCTACATCGCAATCAACCAAGTAAATATCAGAAAGCCTTCCAATAACCCGTCCTCCGAGTAAAATACAGTCAGAGGCACCCTTTAAAACAATGTGCATTATTGTTGTATTTGTTGACATTATTAGGTCGGCTCCACCTTACACGTCGTTATGTGACTGCTTTCGAGGGCTCTAGGGTAAAAACGGAACATAAGTGTTTCTTAACTGGATCGGTTAGGACCCTACTTCCATGGGTAGGTGTATTTCAATGTTTTTGACGGCATGGGTGACAATGCGAAGAAAGGACATCGAACGCACAATACGTTATCGAGTTCGGCTTATAGCCAGAAAATAGGCAAGAGGAGCTATAAACACTGACTACCACATGCGACGGATTGATTAGTTAAACTGCAAAGTTTGTATAGGCCGGCAAGTACTTGCAGTCAATGACAGTCAAGGACTAGAGGTTTTGCAATGCATTTTATTCATTTAGTGAGGCGGAAATTACGAGAAGTAATGCGTTTAAACAGACGGTACCAATATGGAGTTGTACTTAAACGACACCGTAGGTATGTATTTTTGTTAAATTTAATACACTCGTTAAATACTCAGCGTCAATCTTCTACTAGATGACTTCAAGTGTAGGAGAGCGGGGCGGTTATAACTGTCAGTAAATGAGAACTTGATTAAGTTTGGTTCAAAATATATCTAGACGTAGGCTCTCACGGCGGAGACAAAATGACTGTTTGACAAACGCATTTGGATGTTAATGTGATGCGATCTGTAGGAATATTACTCCGTAAGACGGTAAGTAGCGAAATAACGACGGACGCAAGTAAGCCCACCTCATAACAGGTCAGGCACACCCAATTTTCCCCGCGATTATCACATCGGGTGCAGGAACTAGTTATTTCTGGACGCCAAGCAGACGCTGATGTAACGGACTGGAGGTGCGCACACCACAGTATGGGCTCGACCGCGAAGACGCGATCTGGCAAAGGATTATCCGAGTTCTGTAAAGGAGAAAAAACAGAACATCAAAAAGACTGGGGAGTTAAGAAGGAATACGGGAAGAGTGAGAAAATAGACAGGGGAGCTCTATTTCTGTGGATTACGACAGGAAATAAACTTAACAACATACCTATGGGGGAGACAGAAGTGTCAAGTATAGTACCTTACCGGTTTTCAGCCAGTACCTTTGAATGAGTCAAAGGACGAGCATGGATGTTGCGGAGCTGGTAATATGTAATAGGAAGAGCATCGGCAAATTTGACGTTATTTGGTAGAGATAAGCAGCGATCGTAATACTGCCGGAAAACAAATTACGAAGAACTAAATAGGTTCTAGGTCAGTGCAGCAGACACCGTTAGGACAAACTGATGACTGACATTCCTTATTTTTCTATTCCGCCAGGCACATTATGTAACTGAGTCAGCATCAACTGGTGGGGCGGTTCAGACAATAAACTGATGCAGGGGGTCAACTGTGCGTTGCGGCA